AGACCTGGCTGTGCGGGGGTCACACTCTGTCCATCCCACCCCAGACTTTTGCTTGTGCCCGGAATGCCCTGTCTGCCTCTGCATATCAAACTCCTACCCATCCTGGCTCACATGCTCCCCTCCACCCAGAAGGCATCCCCAGTGCTTTCCCCAGATCTTGTCTTGGCTGGACCAGGCTCTCTTTTCTAAGCTGCGGTCCTAAGATTTGAAGGAAAGAAGGTGAATGCGCCTCACGTGTCGTGATGGTGGCGAATTCAAGCAGGGGAGACGCAGCAGGAGATTGGAGCCTCCAGACCCAAAGAAACTCATCATCAGGTGGGGCTCACAGAGCCTCGAGGAGAGGCCTCCCTCCCTGCTGGGAGCACTGTGGCCCCTGAGAAGTGAAATTCAGGCTCAGCAGATAGGAAGGGCCTTTAGACATCACTTGGTCTGATCTGCCCATTCACAAATGGAAGACAGAGGCCCAGGGTGGGAAGGCAGTGTCACAGTGTCACATGGGCAGAGGGCCCTGGGCTGGGAGACAGGAGGCTGGACTTGGAGTTGCCTCCTGGCCTGGGCAAGTCCCCCCCACCTTCCTGAGCCTCCATTTCCTCACATATAAAATGCAGACAGTTGCACCCATCTCGTGAGCTTCACAGGACTGTCAGGAGGGTTAAATGAGATTCTAGATGCCAAGGAGGCCTTGGTGACCAATGTCAGGTCATTGTCATGTGACTGACATTTGCTGAGCAGTCACTGTGTGCCAGACACTGTGTATCATTCATTCAGTCTTTACAGTGACCACGTGCAGTGGGATCTATTAATTGTCCTGACTCTACTGAGAAAGAAACAGGCGCAGAGAGGTTGAGTAACCTGCTGATGGACACAGAGCTAGGGAGAGGCAGACACAGGATTTGGACCCAGGCAGTCTGGCTCCAGAGCCCTTGCTCTGAAGGGTTCAGTGGCAGCATGTGGGCTTGAATCTGGGTGGTCTGCTGCTTCCCAGCCATCTTTGTGGCCGAGCTAGTCCGGGTCCATAGACAGGCAGCTTTCTTGGCAATTGAGGACCTGGTCTCCCCACATCTCATGGGTGAGGACTCCCTAAACCCAGCCAGCTGCCTGTGTGGCACTTCAGATAATGACACCATCCCGGAGTCCCCAGCATGTGGCTGGACCAGCCCTGAGGTCAGCCTCATGCCCCAGAGACCGTCAAGCTCCCCTTACCCAGAGGGCACACTCTCACAGGGCATTTCATAGGACAGGGGCCCCGCCGAAGGTACCACCATGCCAGTTCTCTAAACACAGCAGGCAGGGTGGGTCCCTGGGGGTTCATTTCTTCCACCAGGAGCAGGGTGGCGTGGTGGATGGAACCTGGGTAATGGATTGGATAAAGCGGTTTGAATCCTGGCACACAGCAGGTGCACAGTACACCCCTGGCTATCAGTACTAATAATGGTAGTGAGAGCCGTCATCTGTGAAAGAGTGGGAGGAGTTCCCATCCTTTCATTCATTTAACAAATAGTTTTCAGGGCCTGCTAGACATTGAGATAGAGGCATGAACTCCCTGCCCCCATGGAGCTTACATCCTAGTGGAGGAAGCAGAATTAACAAGAAAGATAAGCATAATAAGTTAGATATGTTAGATTGTGATCAGTTCAATGGAGAAAAGTTAAGCAGGGAAAGTGGAAGGAGTTTCCATTGGAAATGCAATAGTTCGGAGGTGACATTGGAGCAAAGCCTGGAAGGAGG